AGCTCACACTCTCTCTCACTAAAAGAAAGAAAGAAAAGAGAAAGTGAGAAAGATGTATAGTTCTTAATTTTTAAATTAGCAAAATTTAAAAACAGTAACATTCAGCATTGGGACAGATGTAATGATAAAACTAGCTCTTTCATATATTGCTAGTACAAATTGGTACAACTTTTTAGAGGGCAATTCAGCAATACATTTTGAGAGTCCTAAAAATGCCTATAGGTTTACCCCAGTAATTCTGCATCTTAGATTTTACCCATGGTAATAATCAGAGCTGCACACAAAGATTTATGTATAAGGCTATTAACTGTGATAAAAACATAAAATGACTCTGTGAGGTAGACATGAAATGTTCAGCAATAGGGAATTAGTAAGATAAATCCCAGTCCATGTGTACAATAAAATAGGAGATCCATTAATTATATTTTTAGCACATAAGTAATACTAATGACATAAAATTAAGTTAAAAAACCATATCAAGCTACGCATATTATAATTTAATTTTATAAAATTTAAATACAGAAAAATGTTAGAAATTAAAGCAATATTAAGTATTAACCACGGTAATCTGTGTGCAATGGATTATAAATTTTTATTTCCTTTATCCTTTTTTATTTTTCATTTTTGCTCAGAAAAAATGAGGTAACTTAAGAATGTTCTAAAAGTTGTATAAGTTATTTATTTTTGAGCTGGCCAACAACTAAAACTAAGCAAGATTTGTTTTTTAGTAGTGAGACAAATTCAGTCAAAATCAGTTATCTTTTACATTTACTGCAGAATAAACTACAAGAAGCACAGACAAATGGACAGTAAGACGGACAAATCATTTCCAAACCCTTCAGTTTAATTTTATCAGGGGATTTTGGTGACAGTGTTGTTCTTCTCCCTCCATATTTACTCAGCCTTTCATTATTTCAAAACATATCAAGTGCAGGATGCTGATACCACACACGTCCTTTTGTTGCTGAAAGAGGCAGTGAGCTGAGCAGAAAATCCTAAATAGTGAGTCTGCGTGCACATCTGGGGTGGCAGGTTCATGGCTGAATGGGTTTTAGACAGAGCCCTGGCCTCTCGGACAAATCTGTGACCAGATAATAGACAGTCACATACTTCTATTTTTTTCAGGCTCAGGGAAGTCTGACAAATTCATTTTCTCCAGCCAAAACTGCCCCCCTCACGTTTTGGTGCCTATGATGATTAATTTTCTGTGTCAATTTGGCTAAACTATTGTACCCAGTTAGTCTAGATGTTGCTGTGAAGGTATTTTGTAGATGTGATGAGCGCTTGCCATCAGGTGACTTTACATAAAGCAGATGACCTTCTAGAATGTGGGTGGGTCTCATTCAGTCAGTTGAAGAGCAACAACCGAGGTTTCCCAGAAGAGAAGCAATTCTACCTCAGACTGTAATATAGAAATCCCACCTGAGTCCCCAGCCTGCTGGCCTACTCTACGGATTTTGGATTCCATATTTCAAGTCTTAGCTGAACTTTCAGCCTGTGAGCCTGCCCTACAGATTTCACACTTGCCAGTCTCTGAATGGTTCTGTGGTTCTGTTCCCTGGAGAAGCCTGAAGTACCCCTCCCTCAACGACAGGTATCAAGTTCTCTTAGCTATCCAAACAGTGAACCCCAGGCCCATCCTCTTTCCATTTCCCAAATCAGTATTTCCATGTCCTGCTCCCTCTTCTTCCTGGGGGATAGTCTCCAAAATGCTAAATTAGTTCTCCATAAAAAGTTAACAACTGGTGAGTAACTTTCTAGGGAGGAACTTAAAAAAAAAATCTACTGAAATCTAACATTTGGTATTTGTCTTGACAAAATCATAAAACATTATGCTAAGTAAAAATGAGCCATTTTTTCTTTAAATATTCCACCACCATTGATCATTGTCAATTTCTACATTTGAATCAATCCGCAAATAACTTTGAATGCAAATGGAACACGTAGAACATAATGTGTCAGCATTATCTAAGTGTTAAAATACGTATGTACATGACAAAGATAAACAGAAACAGAGATAAACACAAAACTGTTTTTTGAAAAAGAGCATTTATTCCATGTTTGGCAAATATATGGCCAAGATCTATGACTTCTCCCCATTCCCCACCCAAAGCAGACATCATTCATCAATCACCACACTCCCTGCCTACAAATGGTCTCCCAAACCATCCTCATCTCTGCCCTAGCCACCTCCTGAACCTGGCAGGGGGCCTATTTGCCCTTCTGCTTTTGGTCCAACCTTCTAGGTTTACAGGTGACAAAACTGAAGCCCAGAAAGGGGGTAGATCTTACCTAAAATTGTATAGCTAGTTCACAGAAAAACTTGAATCTAAATCTCTTGAATTTTAATCATGACCTCTTTTTTATAAAAATAAATATTTTAGGCATACAACAAAGTATAAAAATAATATCAACATCTGCGTACCCACCCCCAGAATATCAACATCTGTGTATCCACCACCCAGAATAATATCAACATTTGTGTGCCCACCACCCAGGATAATATCAACATCTGCATACCCACAACCCAAAATAACATCAACATCTGTGTGCCCACCACCCAGAATAATATCAACATCTGCATGCCCACCCCCCAGGATAATATCAACATCTGCATGCCCACCCCCCAGGATAATATCAACATCTGCATACCAACCCCCCAGAACAATATCAACATCTGTGTGCCCACCACCCAGAATAATATCATCTGTGTGCCCAACCCCCAGAATAATATTGTCAACATCTGCATACCCACACCCAAAATAATATCATCAACATTTGCGTGCCCACCACCCAGTTGAGGAGGTTAAATTTGGTGTTTATAATTTCCATGCTGTTTTTGTACTTTTACATCACATACTGCATAAACACTACATAGAGGTTCTTTGCATGTTTTTAAACTCTGTAATTGCCAACATATTGTCTATATCTTTCTGAAATCTATCTTTCCTCTCAAAATTATATTTTTCAAAGTTGTCCATCTCAGAAAGACATCCAGTTTTTGTGCTTTCATTTTAGTTGCTATATATACTTCCTATACACTTGTTCTCCTGTTCATTCACATTTGATTATTTCTAATTTGTTGCTCTTGTAAATAATAGTACCAGGAACATTCCTATGTGAGTCCTCTGTGATGTATACCTAAGTGGTCCTGACCTCTTTACAGCATGCCATATATTCTAAGGTAAGTGCCAGGGGGATGAGGAAGAGAGAAGAGGAGCATCATTCTCTCACCTCCTTGACTCTCCCTTCCCCAGGTTGGAAGGTACAAAGGGTAACTCTATATAATTGCTAGGGGGGGAAAGATAATTAGTCTAATTTCTTTAATTTGACTTTTGGCCAAGATATTTATTTTGAATTTCAGATACCACTAAAAAAGGGTATGAGATTTTTCTGTTTATAAGGAGATGTATTGTTTAAAAATGGTTGTGAGGGGCGCCTGGGTGGCTCAGTCGTTACGCGTCTGCCTTCTGCTCAGGTCATGATCCCAGGGTCCTGGGATCAAGCCCCGCATCAGGCTCCCTGCTCAGCGGGAAGCCTGCTTCTCCCTCTCCCACTCCCCCTGCTTGTGTTCCTGTTGTTGCTATCTCTCTCTCTGTCAAATAAATAAATAAAATCTTTAAAAAAATAAAAATGGTTGTGATACCCTGTTAATCCAAAGAAATCACTCTATTAACAGTGCAATATTCAGACCACATGGGGGCCATAGGATGGGACATTTAGAATGGTTGCAAGCCTTTGAGCATTCCTTAGGTCCTCAGAGAGACGGTTCTGCCTTCGTTACTCAGACTCTAATCTCTTTTCGGACAATACTTTCTCTCTAGGACAGAGGCTACATATGGTCACTGATAAGCTCAATTAGCCTATGGACATATTTTATTTGCTTTGGTATCTGAAATACTTTCGGGTAACATTTAATAACCAAGACATTTTATATAAAAATCTGGATTTCCATCTTCTCTGACAGCTTTAGGCTAGTGCTAAATTGACAGGGAATATGCCCTCCAATTTGTTACCATTCCCGATCCAGTTATAGAATGTCCTTTCTACTCATTTCAGCACCTGCCTGGCCCTGTGGGCATCTGAGTTTACCACCTCTGCTCTCAAGCCTTTCACTATGTCTTCCTCATGCTGAGCAGTTGAAGGAGACACTTATATAGAGACTAGAGCTCATGAAACTCAGACAAATGCTGAGGCCGCTCCCATGGAAACTCACCTGTAGACCAAGTGGACCGATTTATACGAACACATGAGTTTTGTTTCTCAAGAAACAGATGTTTCAGTTAGGAGAGCCAACATTAATCTGAAGCTTTTCCGAGTTAAGAAAATCTCATTGCTGATTCAGAGAAACGCAGCATAAACTGGACCTCAAGTCCAGGCCTGAGCTGCATCTGTTCCTTGGTTCTGTGCCCAGGGATGAGTACTGTGTTACCAGGATGTATTTTCACAAGTGGCTCTCAGGGAGGTGGTGGGAGGTGGGAGGGTGCAGGGCCTAATTTCATTCCTTCCAGTCATACTGTGTGCTTATGAGTTGCCATGTGTTCTGTATTAGCCAGATGCAGACCCTGGTATTGAAGGCTTTCTAGAGTTGTTTTTACAGTTGGTGTCATTGGAATTTTACAGATATATTCAGCAGAATTCTAAAATGACCAGTTCTGAATATTTTGAGCAGCTGATAACAAAGTTATTTAGAAATTTCTGTGAATTGCCTATAATTATGGTGAACTCATGAATTCATGTGTCACACCACGTGATTCCTAGGTCACAAAAGGAAAGATGGCTTTCTCAAGAAAGCTAGAAATACTCTTCGTGCACTCTGACCCAGGCCTGTGGGTCCCAAAACACGATTTCTCCAGGGTCTAAGCTTTTCATCCAACCAGCCTGAATGATTTTAGCAACCCCAATTCTCCTGACCTCCACATCACATCTTTTTCTACAAATTCTAGCTCCAAGCGTGCCAGCCTCCTGAAGAGACTTCTACTCCCCGGAGCATTGCAACCTTGACCCACAGCCGCCAGCAATGTACTTAGTAATGGTTGCAAAACCATGAGCTGTTGATTGCTTCACAGTTGAATATCTTGCCTTGCTGTTAAGTGTTAACCATGTTTCTAAGTATGGGAGCCCCGATGTCCTATGCAGGAGTCCTTAGGAATAGAGACAGACCAAAGGCTATATGACTCTTCTGTGACTATGCAGCAGACACCTTTTTTCTCCCAAGAAAGGTCGGAACAACATAAGCTTACAACAGCAGCTAGCTGAAATGCTACTCAACAGGAAGATTCTGTACAGGTGGAAACTATTCAGTTGCCCTTTGTGCATTCATAGAACAGGGGCTATTTCTTAATTCAAGCTGGGAGAGAAAAAGGTAAGAAAAATCATGACTACTCACAGCTCTGTCCACTTCCCTCCTTATGGTGGCGTCAGATTTTTTTGTTGTGTCTGAAAAAGAGAAATCCCCAGTGACGGGATAAGATTAACGAGAAAAGTCTTCTGTTTCTAGACTAAAAGATGGCAGAACAAAAAGTTAATCCGATAAATCACATGTATAGAAGTCCAAATGTACACTGTGGCTTGAGACCTCAGGCTGAATGATAGAGTAAAACTGTACCCTTAGGTGAAAATTGCAAACAAAGCAGTCCTCTACTTCCCATTCCTTTCTCAGCCCCTGGTCCCAGGCACTCAAAGGCTGAGGGACTGCTAATTTGGGTATTCAGCCCAGGAAACATCCAGCTTCAGAAATCTCTCTCCCTTTTCTGCTTTGCTCTTGACTGCCACTTCCCTCCTGTCTGCCCTACACAGAGCAAGAGGTCTCATCAATTAATTTACACTAGGATGTATATGACGGATACTCTTCAAAGCAACTTGGGGAGTAGAAGCACAAGTTCACATAATAGGATGCTGCTCACCACTGTTCCCCTGGTTTCATCTTTTTCAACCGTGAACGTCACATGCTCCCCCCAATCTGATTTTCTTCCAGAGCTTGATGCCCATGTCCTGCAGTTGCCTGGGTTTCTGAACTCAGTGCATCCGTAATTCTGCCTTTGCTCTGTCCACCAGATTTTTAGGAACTCCCTCATGACAATACTGACCTTGGCCTGGACTTTGAGGGCCTCCATCTAGCATTGCCATCTCCTCTAAGGATTCACATATGAAAGAAGCCTAAGAGTGAACCCGTAGAAATTGCCCTTGCATGGCGGAGTTTCAGGGCAATCCTCTCTAATGCTTGGGGTTGGTGGTGCCATTCTGTGGTTCTTATGCAACCATTGGCCAACATATTTGGGCTTTGGTTTATATCCCTGTAAAGTCTTGGCTCAGTCTTTTAAGGCAGTGCCATTCAAAGTGGAGAGTCCATGGGTTAGTGGTGGTAGGTGACCTATTGCTTACCAGCCCCCAATGAGACAATTATAGAGATCTAGTGCAAACATTTAGAAACTCAGTTCTTTTGGGTGGAGACTCTCTCCTTCCATTGCCCAAAATAATACTTATTCAGATTGGGCCAATTTTTTCTTAAGCACTTTGGTAACAAAAAGTCCACACATTTCAGTGTCAGACAGACCTGTGTTCAAACCCCAGCTATATGACTTTAGGAACACTTTCTGAACCTCCATTTCTTCATCTGCAATATAGACACTACTCCTTGCCTCAAGCAGTTTTTGTAAAATGAACTGAAAAGGAGTTTGTAAAGGGTCTAGCCCAGTGCTGTCCAACAGAATTTTCTGCAAAGGTGGAAATATTGTATATCTACTCTGTCCAGTGCAGTGCCCTCTAACCCCATGTCACTACTGAGTGCTAACAAGGTGTAAGCACTTAAAATGTGACCAAGGAATTGAATTTCTATTTAATTTAAACTTAAATAACAACGTATGGCTATTATATCATACAGAGCAGGTTAACATGGGTACTGCATATAGTAGGTTTGATGTGTAAAATTTTATTGAACATCTACATATGCCAGGTAATGTTTCAGACAATGGACATGTATTAGTGAATAAGAGAAACACAGACCTTATGCTCATGAAACAGAACTTGACATTATTTTTACAACAGAAGTTGCCAGATTCTTCTCCAGAACCTAGTAAGTCACCAGGAGCCCTGAACTGTTGAGGGCTCCTCTTGGGCAGAGATGGTAGGCAGAACCTTTTATGGACTGACAGGCCTGCCCTCCCCATGCATCATGGTGTACAGAGCTGGTTGCTGAGACATAGGTGGGTAAATGTGTTTAGGAGCAAAGAAGCCTTCTGGACAGAAAGGGGCTGAGATTGCCACCCCTTTACTTGACTCTCTCAGATAGATTGAGAAGTTCAGGACAGCACTGGCCCTAAGAGGAACTCAAGAGAAGGAAGTTAGGACTGGCTTCCCCAGCTTAACATGAAGGCCTTGAGCTGAGTAGGCTGGCTGGGTGCAGCAGTGGTTAAAGCAGGAAGCCCCTTTGGCTTCATCAGCTCTTGAGGTGGGGAAGTAGAAGCTGTAAGAGGGAGACATTGGACTTCTGGCTAAGATGGGCAGGTGGGTGCTCAAGAAATTAACTGGAAAATTAAAAGGGAGGCAATTACATTTGGAGCCCAAGGTATTAAAAAAGGTCCTAGATATATAAGTGTGTGCTGAGTGTATTGAAAGAAGAAGTAGGTGCCGTGGAAGCATCTCCACAAGGGGATTTGCTGTAATGGGTGTGATGAGAGGGCAGAATCAGGGGAGGCTTGATGAAGTGGCAGCTTCACTGAGATTTAAAGGATGACGAACTTAGGTGAACAAGGAGAAGGAAGTACTTTAAGAAGAGCAAATGCTGGGCGCCTGGGTGGCTCAGTCGTTAAGCGTCTGCCTTCAGCTCGGGTCATGATCCCAGGGTCCTGGGATCGAGTCCCACATCGGGCTCCCTGCTCTGCGGGAAGCCTGCTTCTCCCTCTCCCACTCCCCCTGCTTGTGTTCCTGCTCTTGCTATGTCTCTCTCTGTCAAAAAAATAAATAAAAAACCTTAAAAAAAAAAGAAGAGCAAATGATGAGGATTGCCGGAGGGAAGGGGGTTGGGGGATGGGGTTACTGGGTGATGGACATTAAGGAGGGCACATGATGTAATGAGCACTGGGTGTTATATAAGACTGATGAATCACAGATCTGTACCTCTGAAACCAATAATACATTATATGTTGTTAATAAAAAAATTGATGCTGAACAAAATTACTAAAAATAAAAGATACCGATAAAAAAAAAAGAGCAAATGCTATATGAGAAAACTCAGAATTGAAGGAAGCCATGGAGGAGGTCCAATCATGGAGACATGGTAGACTGGTAGAATTTAAAAGCCTGTTCCAGCTAAAAGTGAAAATAGATCATCTCAGACATGGCAAGAGTAGATGCAGGGTGACAGGCGGGAAGGTCCTGTTCTAGTCCAGGTGAACTCTGGTAGTGACAGTGAGGTTGGGTCAATAAGCTGTGAAGTGCTCGTTCTCATGTCACTTCCCATTTTACAGGTAGAAAAACCATCTCAAAGAAGTTAGGTAATTCATACAAGATCACAGAGCCAATATATGGCAGCATCGGGTGCAGAACTAGCCTTCTGACCCTGGCTTGAAGCTCTATTCACAGTGTCAGCCATTCTCAACCCTCTTCCATGACACATGAGTCTGTGTGCATGGCAGATGTATTTCCACATGTGTGTCCAAGTGCCTCCCATGAGAGAAAGCAGATCCCAGTGCGTGTGAGTTGCAGGGTGGAGGTGGAGGGTGGGTATTATATAGGCAGCCATGATTTCACTCTGGCTCATTAAAAACAAAAAGGGAATCATTTGCAAATTTATTCACTTACTCTCATTAGCAACAAGGGTCTCCCACCACAGTTGGTATCCGAGCCTTGCATCCGGCTTGGAACTACAGATATCCTCATTCACCCTTGAGACAGGGATGAAGGATGAGGGGAAGAATTTCTTCTGCTCTACCTGTGAGTGTGACCGCATTTCATTCTTCCAAAGAGAGTAGGGACAGAAAACTCTTTTTTTTTTTTTAAAGATTTTATTTATTTATTTGAGACAGAGAGAATGAGAGAGAGAGCACATGAGAGGGGGGAGGGTCAGAGGGAGAAGCAGGCTCCCCGCTGAGCAGGGAGCCCGATGCAGGACTCGATGCAGGACTCAATCCAGGGACTCCAGGATCATGACCTGAGCCGAAGGCAGTTGCTTAACCAACTGAGCCACCCAGGCCCCCAAGGGACAGAAAACTCTTGCTCATTTCTGATGTGACTAAAGGATTCTCAGGCTCCAGGCCTGGAACTAGGTATAGATCTGCTTCTGAGGGGTGTGTTTGGGGGAGGTAAAAGAAGATGGCAGAAGATAAGATTCTAATGAGGGGCACCTGCCATGGCTCTCTGAGGTCACAGACTTGCAGAAGTGATCCTGTTTAAAGTTCTATCAGATGCTGTAAGTCCTCCTTTATGGTGAGATGCCCTTCTTCTCCATTTCTATCATTTCTCTCTTTTTTTTTTGTTATGTTATGTTAGTCACCATACAGTACATCATTAGTTTTTGATGTAGTGTTCCATGATTCATTGTTTGCATATAACACCCAGTGCTCCATGCAATATGTGCCCTTCTTAATACCCATCACCAGACTCACCCATCCTCCCCACCCCCCTCCCCTCTAAAACCTTCAGTTTGTTTCCCAGAGTCCATAGTCTCTCATGGTTCATCTCCCCCTCTGATTTCCACCCCCTTCATTTTTCCCTTCCTCCCCTTAATGTCCTCCATGCTATTCTTTATGTTCCACAAACAAGCGAAACCATATGATAATGGACTTCATTTCTTTTTCTTTTCCCCTTCTTCCTCTTTTCCTCCTTCCCTTCTTCACTTCTTCCTTCCTCTTCAACCCTCACCCTCCCTTACTGTTGACAATAATTCCTTGGATTTTTAGTAGAGGGTTTTGTGGTTAGCACCCAAGTTGATGCATACATAGGGCAATGGACAAACAGAGCCTGATAATATCTTATGGCAGAAGAGAATACAGAAGTTAGACTGTAAATGTAGCATGACAACCACCTAAAAGCCCCCCAATTCTCAAATAGTGGCCACCCCAAATTCTTATTGAATTATTCCCACATGTCATTTCTTTTCTATAGACAAGGCCATGTGTAGACTTTGGGAGGAGCTCACTGGGTGCTGACAAAGGAACAGTTTAGGAAAGCACTAGACAGTCTGCAGATATTGTGGCCAGGGTTCAAAATTTGCACAACAGGAGTGGGTGGGTGACAACAGGACAGGATGAGGAGGGACTCCTGGGGACCTGCTGGAAGTCTTCAGGGCACCATCAAAACAGGTGCTCTTCCTGTCCCCAAATGGCCTCACACACTTTTCTCCTTTCCTTGCGAACCAGGTGATTCAGATTCCTGGGGGTTGGGGGGAAGGCTCAGCCCAGCTAACACCCAGACTGGGGAAATGAGGGATGAGAACCGAAGCAATCTTCTGTGGTGATCTTGCTATCCTCTCACCCATGAACTCTGACCACATAGCTATCTGCACTGCCAAAGTAACACTGATTTCATGAGGCTAATGACACTTCTTGGCTCAAAGAACAAAGCAAACTATTTTAGCACAGGAACAAAACATTCCTTTTAAAATACTCAGTATGAGGATTTCAGTTCACTGAAAACTAGAGCCATTTTCTTCTGGGGAAAAATCTTCAGGACGAGCCCCCTGAGCCCAAAGCGATGCACAAGCCCTGAGGAGATTCATATGAAACTGGGAAGCTGCAGGCCACTGGAGCAAAGCAGAGCCTCACACTGCAGACACCCAGTCTGTTTGGTTACCTTGAATAAAACTCACTTACCTTTTCTAAAGGAAAGCTTTTGGAAGAGCTGTTTTCTTAGGCCTATCATTGCAGCTACGAACATCAAAGTAATGATGAAGGAAGGGATGAAAACATGAAGTAGCCGATTTGAAGAGGTGTCAAGTTCTTTGCCACCTGGATGAAAGAAAAGCACCAGAATCCCATTACCTGGTAGCTTAGAGGTAAACCAACAAGTTGGCCATCTGAGTAGGTTACAACCAACACAGCCAACGTACGGCGAGCATTTATTCCATGCCAGGTACTGATCTATGTGTGCTGGATGTACTAGCTCGTTTACTTCCTATATCCACCCTATGTGGCAGGATTTGCAATGACCCTCATTTCACTGGTGAAGAAAATGAGGTGCAGAGTGTCTAGGAAACTTTCCCAAAGTTACATAGTAAGAGAGAGAGCTGAGATATAATCTAGGCTGTCTGGTTCCAGATTCCATGTTTTTCATCATTCTGATACACCTATCTGTCTGTCTATCTATTACCATCATCATCATCATCATCATTTTTCTGTCTAGTAGGTTAGTCCCTCAATTCAAACATGTCTTCTCCCTCTACTGTCAAGCACTCGCAGTCCTCAGAATCCATGCCAATAGTCATTCAATTTCAAGGACTAACAGGATCGTTTTGGAAAAATACAATATTGTAGATAGTGTTAACATACAAAATCCAGTTGTTCATACCTTAGTATGAATTACTATGACGAGCCCTTTCCTTGGCTCAGCTAATCAGTGTTCTGGCACTGAGGAAAAGGTGAGTTTAGTAGAGACGTGGATGAGAGGAGCAATTTTGGAGACAGGGGAAGGCCTTGTAGAAGAGAGCTCTGGGTATCTATAGGTTAGAATAAGGGCTCCAGACTGACAATGGGGAGGGCTGGAGGGGGCTTCATAATAGGAGGTAGAAGAGTACCCAAAGTAAACTGTGCCCTTTCCAAAAGCCTGAATTTGCCCCATGGAGTAACTTATACAGAATAAACACAAGAGCCTGGTCCAGGAAAAACCTGGCGAAACTGCTCGGGAGGAAGGGCTCGGTCCTGCCAACTGCCTTCCCTCCCACCATCTCAATGCCGTTTGAGAATCATAGATCGTTTTAGCAGAGAAGAAATCAGACACAATTTAATCTGAGCCCCTCATTTTAGAGTTCAAGAAGTAAGGCTCAGTGATGCTAAATAATCTATCTGAGGTTATCACTGCTAAAGAAGGGACAGAGCCAGGATTGCAAGCCTGGATCTGTTTGAGCCAAAGCTCAGGCCCCACAGATATTTGTCTCTACTGAAAACAGTGTGGTGAGCAGTAAGGAAGAAAGGATTCAGAAGCCTGGCTCATCTACACATTGGATGGCCCACACTGACTACAACTGCTCCTTTACTTGTAGGAAGGCTTATTAAGCACCACTGCAGTGGCGCTGTGAGTCAAGGAGCCCTGGGACCTTCAGCGTCCTCACAACAGGAGAAATCCCTACCTCAACACCTCTGTGCAAACCTGTCGTGTCCTTTGCAGGTTCCTTCACAGCTCCTTCCATGTACAGAAGCTCTACTCATCCCTGAAGACTTTCTAACGATGAACACTGGTCCGTTTAGCCTGTAAGTGTTTGGAGTGCAAAGACTTCACCTAAGTCAACTCTAAATCCCCTATAGAGCCAAGTACCATCTACATTAAAGATGTCAATAAGGATTTGGGGGGCTTAATTAATTAACTGTGTACCTGGTCTACCTGGCCCCATCCTCCCTGTCCTTAGTTACCTTGTGGCAGACTGATGCTTATCCCTTAAACCCATTTTCCCTTTCTTCCCTGTTAGGGCATTAGCTGGACACATGGCTTCTCAAGACGACATCTTGGAGCCTCCCCTGCGGTTAGGTGTGACCAACCATGAAAACTAATTTCAAGTCATGGGTCTTCTGAGTCTTGGCCTTAAGACATTGGATATGTCTTCCACCACTCTTTTCCTTTTCTGAAACATGGATGTAGTAGTCATCCAGCTTTGACAATTCAACAGAGACAACATTCTACAGAATGGGGAGCAACAAGATGGAAAGAACCCGGAAAGAACAGAATAGAGATATTTCCCTGCTCTGAATCACCTTCTATCTCTGAACATTACATAAGAGAAAAATATGCTTCTGTCTTGTTGGAGTTGTATTTTGAGGTCTGTTATGGCAGTTTAGTCTATATCCTTATATTCTTATAGATTGTTTTATAATAATTACATGTTACTTAACAATGATATGATGATGCAATGGGAAAACCATGTTTTATCCTTGCCACAGTCCCATGCACTCTTGCTAGAGGCATGATATTTTTCCCCATTTCCACGCTTTCTGAGTGCTGAGGACTTTGCAAGCATGTTTCATTCAATCCCCACAATCATGCTCTAATGTATCTATCATTATTTACCCTTATTCTACAAATGTGAGACCAAGTTCTAGGATGTCTCATTATATGTTCATGTTCTCAAAGCTAGTAGTAGTAGAGAGAGGATTTAAAGATCAAGTCAGGGGCGCCTGGGTGGCTCAGATGGTTAAGCGTCTGCCTTCAGCTCAGGTCATGATCCCAGTGTCCCGGGATCGAGCCCCACGTCGGGCTCCCTGCTTGGCAGGGAGCCTGCTTCTCTCTCTCCTTCTACTGTTCCCCCTACTGTGCTCTCTCCCTCTCTCTGTCAAATAAATAAATAAAATCTTAAAAAAAAAAAAACTATTTAAGATCAAGTCAGTTTGACTTCAGAGCCCATGCTCTTGACCACTGTCAGAGAGTCCCCTCCAGGTCTCTTGGGTGGGCTTCACTTCCCACCCCACAAGAATGTTGTTAGAGTTATCTCCTGTCTCCAATTTCATTACATTTCCTCGTGAAAATGCAACAGCTGGCCAAGAACAAGAACCCTTGTTTCAAAAAGAAAATGGTCTCATTGACCTTTCATTTCTGGTTAAAAGTTAGGATGTTCAGTCACATCCTAGAGCCACTGGAGCACCTCCCACCACCAGACTCTCATTGCTGTATTTGCTTTATTCACTGACTTCTGGAGAAGTTTGTGGTGGGTCACAGAAGTCAGCAAGGAGCAGGTCAACTGATGAGAATGAGTAGAAAGGAGAGAGTCATAAAGCATCTTAAAAATCCCTTTGAGAAACAGAAGTAAGGAACCATGGGGGGATGTGTGACTTTGGTCTCTTGTTGCTGGTATTTGGACCACAAACTAGGGGATCATTTGATTGCTGAGACCTGGCTGCCCATACAGTCTGGCAGCTGGGATAATGGGACTGGGATTATCAAAACTAATCCTCCAACCCACTAATCTGTCATTTATTGAGCACTTAGTATGGGGCAGACTGCTCTGTTTTTGCTTTAGTCTGGGTATAAAGAAGACCCATGTGAACAATTCAAATACATGGAAAATAAAACAGCAATGAAAGATAAAAGACATGTACAGTCACAGGCAAACAAAGTTATGGTGCATGTAATCAGTCTTAGGAGGAGAGATAAGGTAAAGACCTCTTGTGCCCTGGAGTTATCTAAGCTGCTCTGGAGAGAGGGTGGGCTTGAAGATGGTGAAGAGGGTGATTATATTTTATGTGGGAGAAACTGCCTGAACAAAGAAATCATGGAGGTGAGAGACGTGCAAGCAAGTTCAGAGAGCACGTGGTGAGGAAGGGGAGCTGACTAGAGCCCAGGAACCATGCCAGGGGGGAGTAGCATGGATACAACTCTAAGAATCTTGTTAGAAATGAAGCCATTAGAAACACCTCATTTTTAGGGTCAACTTTGAGTAAAAATAGTGAATTAGGCAAGTTGGTCTTCCAACATTCTCTCTCTTTTTATCACAGTGAAGATCCTCAGACTTGTCACTTAACGAAAACTGAGCTATAACTAACTCATACTAGAGCTTTAGAGGCATTTAAATGCTAACAATCACAGGGGAATTTCTTTTTCTTGGAATTGCTTACTTAACTGTCCTTTGCTGTGTGGAATCTCCTGCCTGGTTAAGTGCAAGCCAGTACTTTGGATGGAATGTGGTTTTCCAGAAGGGTCAGGGAAATAGGGGCCTGGGTAAGATGAATTTAGAAATAACTAGTATCTACGTTTTGCCCCACTGATTTCATCAGTACTTTTTTCTTTGTGGTAGAGAAGTGGAAGGGCACACTGGCCATTCCTCTGGAAACCTTGAACTAGTGAAAAGTTACAAATGAAGTCATGTGGCCCTTCTTTCCATGGAAGCCAACATAGCTGAATGCATAGTCAACAGTCATGGGTGGGGCCTGTGGGTCTGCATCAGTTCAGGATCTTCTAGGATTTCACTCATAAATGCAACTGGCAAAGAGACAGATCGTTGTGCAGTTAGAGATTTTTCAGCCTAGGTTTACCCATCCTTCCCAGAGTTGTATCCATGCTACTAGCCCCTGACATGGTTCCTGGGCTCCAGTCAGCTCCCCTTTCTCACCATGTGATTATCTGATTTGCGTGACTTCCATGCTCAGTAATAACAATGAAAAGGTAATTGCGACAACTCAGTCTGTTCAGGGCAAGGCAACCAAAGGCTCAGTTCTCTCAGGCCTGAAAGTCAGAGTCACCAGGTCTCCTCCCCACCCCCAGGGAAGCAAACCGTTCCATCTGAAGTGTTGAGTAAGGGAAATCTAGAATGTACAGTGGATGAGAGAGATCTCAATTATCAGTTATGGCTTGGGATCAACTGTAGCAGCAGGAACTGTAGCTTGTTCTATGAACTCTTGCACATGAAATCTTTTGAAGAGATCATGGCTGCCTCCCAGCCTGAAGGCTTAGTCACAGTGGACTTAATGTAAGGTTGTAGGTGAGCTTGAGCAGTGCAAGGGACAGACTGCTGCAGTCTTGCCTCACTGCCTTTTGGCTTCACCTCTAACTTCAGCCACGGCTTGGTAGAAGTCTAGGTGGACTTCATTCACCTCAAATGGCTACTTTGCTTTCTGCCCTGGGATGATTCTGACACTGCAGATGCTGGGGGGGGGGGGGGGATCTCACTCAGCTCACATACATGCATAGCTCACAGGGGGATGGGGTGTACACTTCTGGACACCACTGTCAATCTATATGGGTGAAACCACCTGATGTGCTTTGAGTGAGCATCTGGGGAGGTCATCTGTACACTTCCCAAGTGGTCCTTGGGTATTTGAGCTCCTGTTTTGCCAATAGCAACAACTTTGATAATGTACCCTTATATTTACTTTTCCTTCTTCCCTGTCTGAATCTCCTAAACATCTCCCTTCTGCTCCCTGCGGTCATGACCTAAATACTTACAAGCTCCTATTATAGGCTCTATTTTGTCTAACTAAGACAAAGGGCAAAAAGTGAAATACAATGACAACACAGTAAATTTTCTATAAAGTCAAATTTAAGCAGTACTAGGGACTGTCCTTTATTCAGAGATTATATCCTTTGCTGGTATGGTAGCAGAATACTGACTCCCCTCAAAGATGTTCATGTTTGAATCCCTGAAACCTGTGAATGTGTTACCTCACATGGGAAAAGGGATTTTGCAGAAGTGATTCTATTCAGGACCGTGAAATGGGAAAATGAGCCTGAATTATTGGGTTGGGGGAAGGAATGGAATGTAATTACAGGGGTCCTTACAAGGTGGAAGAGGGAGGCAGGTGAATTAAAGATGTGATGACACAGAAGCAGAGGTCTGAGGGATGTAGTTGCTGTTTCTGCAGGTGGAAGAAGGGACCATGAGCCAAAGAATGCAGGTGGCCTATAAAAGCTGGAAAAAATGAGAAAAGGAACTCTCCCTTAGAGCTACTGCCATCCTATCAACAATTTGAACCCAGCGAAGCCCCTTTAGGGTTTCTGATTTTCAGAAGTGTAAGCTAATAAATTCATGTTGTCTTAAGCCCACAGAGTTTGCAATAATTTATCATAGGAGCACTAGGAAACATATGATGTGCTTGGTGATAAAATGACCTGTCTGTTATGAAAGATCTTTTTTTTTAAAGATTTATTTATTTGACAGAGAGAGACACAGCGAGAGGGGGAACACAAGCAGGGGGAGTGGGAGAGGGAGAAGCAGGCTTCCCGCTGAGCAGGGAGCCCGATGCGGGGCTCGATCCCAGGACTCTGGGATCATGACCTGAGCCTAAGGCAGATGCTTAACAACTGAGCCACCCAGGCGCCCCTGAAAGATTTTTGATACTAGATGTTAGTTGCTCTTATTTGGCAAAAAAAAAAAATTGTCCTGGTGTATGAAGTTCTAAAGGTGGGACTCAGCATAATCAGGAAAGGCTCCAAAGGTTTTACAAAAGGCCAGTTTCCCTTGGAAACCTCATAACCACTTGACTGCCAGCAAAGCCAGCAAAGTAATATTCGTCCTGCTGACTCCTTGCACTGTGCCTGCGTCACAAGGATTAGCTTTTGTGCTGGGTATTTTCTGTTTCCTGTTCAGATCCATTCTCTACACTTCCACACTGTGCTCTGAGCTCTGAGAGGTTGACCTTTATGGAACACATCAGTGGACTCCCTTGTTCACTGACTCCCAGGTGGCTTCAGCCAATAGGAGATTGGAGGGGGGGAGGAGGAGGAGCTTGGGGAGCTCATTTACCCAGCTTCCATCAGAGTTGCTGCAGACGGCAGCATCCCTCCACTGGAGGTAGAGGCACGTTCCTCACAGTTCCCTTTCCCAGGATTCAATAACTACTCCAACAGTGGTAACTGCTCCTCTGACTGTCGAAGCCCCAGGGTCCTGCAATAGCTTTCCTAGCTTCTCTAAATCCTGACCACACCTTCATACATAGATCTTTTATCACTCTATCCTCACTCCGAGTGTGCCATCTATTTCCTGCCTAAACCCTGACTGATGGAGTTAGGAAGGGGGGGCCCACTCTTACCATGAGGGTCAATGACGGCTGAAGTAAGTTCTTTCACGTTAGCATTCCAGAACACACAGCTGACGTTCGTGCCAGGGGGTGGCTTTAGGCGCAGAACACTAGTGACCTGGTAGAGGGCTTCAGAGGTCTTGATGTGGCTGGTGTTGGCAGGAACACTGATGTTTGGCCAGGTCACTTCTGCCAGTGGATAACCTTCTGCCTGGCAGGTGAGCTCTACCTCATCTACCCCCGGGATCCTAAGTAAATGAGTGTTGATTTTCTTGTAGGAAGCTGGATAATACAAGAAGAAAAAGAAATAAGTCTTTCTTTTCTGGTTCCTAGACGGCTTTGTGCTCAATGCCATGGGAAATGAATACAATTATCACTATCAATATGAAGTAATAATGGTTTTAATTTTTTACACATTTCTTTTGTCTCAGGTATCACGCTATTTACACTGAATGATTTAATTCTTATAACAAAAAAGGCATTGTTGATATTCCCAATTTTTGTTGGAGGTAACTGAAGTGAGATTGAGTATTTTGCCTAGAGTCACAGGGCTAATAACTGGGAGAGCCAATGTCTGCACACTGGAAGTTTGATTCCAAATCTCAACAGCATTTTATCCCACCACACTCTGCGGCTTCCTGTATGATTGTAAATTATCTCACAGCGGAGGACTGGAGACAAAAGAGGAGAATAAATAAAATCACTAGATCACCCCCACATTCTTGTTTTATTTGGTGCTTCTCCTACAGGAGAAAATTCTTTTCCCACTTCCCCCTCTCCTTTCTTCTCTGTGAGATTAGGAGAAAAAATAAAGACCCAGATTCTGTCTATAAGTAGTCAAGAATTGGCTATATCTACTACTTGCTTCTCCTGTCCAAAATACACACACACACACACTTTTGTGTAGTATATGCCGAGTGAATTAATCAAATGTGGCTCCCTGCCCTCTAGAAAACTGAGATCTAAAGTGAATACAAGTGACATTGAAAATAGGAAGACACAAGGACAAATTGCCCAATTATCTTAGATGATAGCCCAAAATAGAGATATTAACAACATATGCAGATATCAGGGAGTATGGAAAGTAATCTGTTGATTTTCGGTGAAGGGAAGAGGAAATGAGTACTAGCTTTCAATAGGTAGGAAATATTTAAGAAACAGAATTTTGATACAAACTTGGATTGCATACATGGCATGGGGCGATGAAACTATTTTTTTCTTAAATTGTTGGGAGGAGTATAAATAGGCACACGCTTTGTGAAAAGCGATTTTACATTAAAATCATGGTAACAGACATGTGGAAAACATCAAACGTGTACGAGGTACTAAGGGTTTTCTAGGTGCTAAGCTCCGTGCCCTGTGATTTTACATACTGTGGAGGGGAAAGGAATGTTCAGGACCCTCCCATAATTTTTGCCCCTTGAGCACCTCCCTTTGTGTCGCTGTGTTTTGAGTTGCTAACTTGATTAGTTATAGCCAAAGATGCTCACTGGATCACGGTTCACTGGATTGGGTGACTGCGTCTTGGAGCGCGGTTCACAATCCGCGGCGCTCTCTTAAGTTCTTGCCTCCGGGCGCCTGGGTGGCTCAGATGGTTCAGCGTCTGCCTTGGGCTCAGGTCATGATCCCAGGGTCCTGGGATCGAGCCCCGCATCGGGCTCCCTGCTCGGCGGGAAGCCTGCTTCTCCCTCTGCCTCTCTCTCCCTCTGCCTCTCTCTGTCTCTCATGAATAAATAAATAAAATCTTAAAAAAAAAAAAAAAGTTCTTGCCTCCGTGTGGTAAAGCATACTCGGCTGGGCCTCCTGGCTGTCTTGCCTCAAAAAACTGACATCCTCCCTGCTCAGTGTTCCACCTGCTGCTTGTGACTGGGTGGGTGGGGTGAACTTTCTTACCCATGAAGCTGGATAGATGAGTAACTCCAGGGTCTGTTCTGCAAACCTGAACTCTAAGTTAAGATGAGGGTGCAAGAAAAAGGGGCCCTTATTCTAAGTCACGTTCTCCAGTGTAAACCACCAGGGAAGCCCTGAAGTTGGGAGAAGGGAAAGGAGAACATCATGTGCTCGTCTGGTTATTAATTTAAAAAATGGAGTTCATTTCCCATTTGGCTACTGATCCTTGTGTGTATAGCTCACTTGGTCAAGGACTTGGAGAGGAACAGGGGTGACAGTGGCTCTAAAACCTGATTCTGTCTCTTTAACATGTATTACCTCATTTAAACTCTTCAAGGACCCTAGGAGGTAGGCAAAATTCATATTCCTGTTTTATAAACAAGGAAACAGCTGGAATCTGAGGTGGGGAGGGGGACTTGAACTCATGCCCTTCGTGGCTATATTATTCTGAATTCTGTACTGGAATCATCCTAGGAGGTTGATTGTCTGTGTAATTGCAAAAAGTTTGGGGATGGAGCAATAGACACGGGAAGGGCGGGGACTTAGGGGCACACAGAACTCAGAGAAGATGAGGAGAATCGGGTTTTGAAGTAGCCTAGTGAGACCTGAACTGGCTGGACTTACCAGTCTCCTTGAAGCCAATTTTGATCTACCTCTAGCGACTCAACAGGATCTCCGAAGCATGCATTTTGAGGACGCACTAATCTCTCATGTTATTTATCTACACTTATTTTCCCTTGGCTTGATGTCCTCTTATGATCATTTATCCTATTACAGTGTAGATTATTTCTGTAAGCTCTGGGGTCTTTGGGGGGAGGGGAAGGAGGAGAACAAATAGATGCACAGGAGCAATGTGTTGCATATGAAGGTCTGGCCCATTCCTGCAGGGTAGCTCAGAACAAGAAGCTGATCTTGGGGGCCAAGTTGAGAGGTGATTTCAGAGGTAGGAGGGCCAAGAATCAGAAGGGAGGCTGAGGCTGTAACCTGGGATATATAAATGAGGGAGAAGATGAGAGAGATGTTCAGCGAAAAGAACCAGCAAGGCTGGGGGGAAGGGATGGGAGCTCATAGCTTGCATGCATACGCTATTAAAGATGCCTCCACAGCCTTGTGCAATTTGGGAAGTGGGTGAAAAGGCATCATTATTAGCCACACACAATGGAGAAGCTGGACCAAGGGGGATATTCTTAGGAAGAGATGAGTAAATTTTAGAATTTCAGAGCTGAAAGTGATCTTACAATTCAAACTAGTCTAACTTCCTACTCTGCAGTTGTTGGGTGTAAGTTTTACATGTGTCAGGCCAAGATGGCTGTGTTTACACAAGTCTTCTATTTTCTTTTTTGTTTACTTTACCCGTTAGAATAGAGATGAGTTGAAATCTCCAAATAGGATTGTGGATCTATTTCTCCTTTTAGGTCTGTCAGTTTTTGTTTTATATGTTTTGAAGTTATGTTGTTAGATGTACACACATTTAGGACTCTTATGCCCCCCTGTCATATTGACTTCTTTATCATGATGAAATGTCCCTTTTTATCTTTAATAATACTTCTTTTCTGATATTGGTAAGCTGCTAGATAACTAACTATTGGCTAAATACATCTATAAATGGAAGCTCCTACAGCCAGGAGGAGCCATCACCATGATTAGACAATTAGAAAGTTAAACTTTCACGGGAGAGATCATCCTTCTGCCAAGTCAAACTTTGCCTCTTGGCAGCTTCAACCCATTGGTAATTGTCTGCTCAACATATGAGCAGTATAGTAGTTAAGAATGTGGTTTGATTAGGCTTGAGCCAAGGGCTGGTTACATGACCTTTAAAGCCCTCGAGTTTCTCATTTATAAACAGGTATGATAATTCTCATCCTTAACAGAGGTGTTAGGATGATTGAATGAGTTAGGTGCCTAGAACACAGTAAAAATTCAATTAATGTTAGCAATTATTATTAGCTGTTGCATATGATCCTTTGGGTATTTGAAAAGAATTGGCAAGACTCCATATAGTCTTTCCGTTCTGGGGTAGAACATGCCTCCTTCCTTCAACCATGTCTCACAGGACAGTTTTTAGACCCAGTGCCACATACCAGTCTTTGGATTCACTGTGTTTGCCAATGTAACATGACCTATATTCCAGATTTAACCTAAGCAGCATGAAGCACAGTGTGACTAATTACTTCCTATGTGTTGAGCACATTTTAGGTCCACGCAGGGTTTTAATGCAGCCTAAGGTCCTAAGATTAATTTTATTAGATGAACGATCTAGGTGCAGCTAGGATGGCTATAACAGCCCCGTGGGCACCTGGAGACCATCTCCTGGGTGACCCAAGACCATCCGTCACCCTTTGTTAGCCCTGACTCAACACCTATTAGTTGTTGAGTCTGTTACAGCTCTAGTGAACTACACTACTATTCATCTCACATTTTACCAATTTATGCACAAGATGTGTGCTGTGTGGATCCTGGGCCTGTCTGCCCTCAGATCCATCCCTCAAGTGTTCTTCTCCGCTCGGTACTGTGTGAAGGCTGACTCTGGCAGGCCGTGTCTCCCAGGCTCTTGCCAGCCCACAGGAGACACGGGGGGAAGTCTGCAGGGCAAACAGGAGGGAGAAGTTAGGGCATTTCCCCCCTACGCTCTATGCTGCAACGGCCTCTCCATCAGCACCCACAACTCTTCCTTGCTCCTGATGCCACTGGATGGGCCCGTTGTGGTTCTAGTATCTGCCCCGTGACTCCAGCCCCCGAGCTCCATTAACCCTGCCTTCTTCCTCTCCCTCCAGTCCAGTGCAGGCAGCAGCTTCTCGTTATTGCTAATTGCTGATTTGCCTCCCTGTTCCCCAACCCCCCATTAGTTACTCAGTCTGCTCTACTAATCTAAATCTAAACTAAATCTAGTTTGGGATTTAAATTTCTGCTGCTTTGAATGGTTTCTGTCTCCCTGCTCATCTCTGACTATAGGATCCCTCCATGACTGGCAACTCTAGCATCCCTGAAATAGAGATAAGCTGCAGGTACTCTTAGCCGCTTATCATCGTAATGACGGTAACGAAGGTGAAAAAACGTAGTTTCACACGCCTTGGTCTTACAGAATGTAGGCGGGTTTCTAGGAATCACTGAAGGAAATCTTGGAGGCATGCTCCCAATTCATCTGTTAGATGACCTGGGGAGGAACCTCAGGTTACACAGTTTGTACACTCCAGGAGCTTTGGCCCATTGAGGAATTCAGAACATTATTGTGTTAACTGCAGCTTTCCTTATGATCCTTCTGTTCCCCGGAGGAGGAAAGGGAGTGGTTTAGCCCCATCAGTGAGTGTTTTAAGCCAATACTTTCTCTAGGTCCAGAGGCCGACTGTCCCTTATCCTTTCAAGGCTGCACTGCTTTCCTTGGGCCGTTTCCTCTCCAGGTCCTTTGTCTTCCCCTCCTCAGGGTAAAGGCCACTGTGAGAGAAAATGGAAGCCTTGTTGCCTCCTTCCTCCACTTGCTCAAGTCGAACTCCCATCTAGCCTGGGCCTTTTTGTGGGTTTGAAATACTTCTGTGAGCCTCAGTCCATTACAGGGGTTGGCGCTCTCCCATTGCCCTCCTCATGTCCTGCCAGGGCCTTGGGGTGGGTTTGGCCCTTCCGTTCTCAGGACTTGTTCTATGTCTGTCTGGGATCCTTGGCTCAGTCCAGTTCTCAGCCTGTGGGCTTAAGCCCTGGGCTCTCTGGCCTATTGGGGCCACAGCGCTCTTCTCTTCAGCCACGGTCCCTACTCTCCCTCAGACAGGTTACTCATCGTATCTGCCTGTCAGAAACCTGTGTCTTCTAGACTCTCTAGCCCTTCTACCTAGTACTGTTTTTCCTGGGCTTTTAAAAAATTAGTTCTCTTTTCACTATATTTAATATCAACTGTTGCCCAGATATCAAAGAAAGTGCTATAAACCTGTTTTCAAGTTTAGGCCATAGATCAGGCATTTTAAGGAAAAAGCACGTACTTCTCCCAGTCCTGTTTCATTGAAGCAAACTCTAACTGAGGCACCAGATCTCCCCTGATCAGGGTAGAATACTTAGGTGATGGTCTTCAACTTTTCCTGTTTTTGCTTGCATTCCTCCTAAAAGGAGGAATGACACAGTATTCCTGACACAGGAATTCAGAACTGACACAGTATGCTCCCTCTCACACATTTATAAGGTAGGTTCTTAAAATTTTTCCTAAGTATCTGTATTGGAAAAATATATAATGTTTAGCATTTTACAAACATTTATATTTTAAGTAAAGCAATGGTTTCACTCTTACATATGTACCTACTGCTGTCTAGATATCAAAGGAGGTATCTTTTATACACACCACCGTCCATGGAAAAATACATATAAAAATTATCCTGTAGGGGAGCCTGGGTGGCTCAGTTGTTAAGCGTCTGCCTTCAGCTCAGGTCATGATCTCGGGATCCTAGGATCAAGCTCCGCATCAAGCTCCCCGCTCAGCGGGGAGTCGGCTTCTCGCTCTCTCCCTCTGTGTTCTCTCCCTCTCTCAAATAAATAAAATCTTTAAGAAAAATTTTCCTGTAATGGTCAGAGCTTTACACTCTTTTTCACATGGTTTCATTCCGTGACCCTCAGTTCACATTCCACTTTTCCTATAGGATTTTATCCTAACTCAACATGGTAGAAAGCTCTTGTATTGGTGATCCTTATGTTTCTTTGCAACAACAAAATATGTACAGCTATTGAGATTAATTTTTTTTTTACTTGTGATCACAAGGCTTCAAGTGTTTGGTTTCCTTCTGCATTGAAATCTAATTTCTATTATCAACACATGTAAAATCAAAATGGAAAATATTATGAATATTGATAATGATTAAACATAAAAGATAAAGTTTTCTGGAAATGTATCCCATAAGAGGATGGATGGGGCTCTCTTTTTTGATTTGTTCACGTATCCAAGATACAGATGGCTGTGGTTGGGATGAGACAAGATAAGCCTCAGCTCTATTTCAATTTTTCCATTTTTATGGTAAGAAAGGCTAAGGAAGTTTACTCATATAAACAAGTAAGTGGGTGTGGAAGCAGTTTTGTTATAGAGATGTCATTTCATGCTTAAAAGCCTTATGATTTATATGGAAAAAAGAAACCAACAACCCTACTTCATTTTTTACTATCAGCTCTTAACTGTATTAGGGCTTCCTCCAGCTTTGTTGAAAACAGAATTTGGTACCACCTGTTTTGCAGAAGGATTTGTTAGTCATTACAGTTTGATAAGGGATCAATATTTCTAATCAGGCTTTTGTTTAGCAGGATGTAGTTTTTCTACACCCCGAGGCAACGCATCACATCGGTGAGAGGTACACTTTCTATGAAGTGGAAGAAGGTGATGATAAAAGAGGAAGTGTTTTAGGGGAACCCCAAGAGCCTTGCCTGGAAGGCTAATTCTCAGGCACACTCAGTTTGGGGATAGAATACTTGGGGAAGATGAAGGATTAGAAACTCATTTCCTAAAACTGCCTGTACCTCTGTGAACCCTCAGAAAGTCTTGTGCTCCCCATATACCATAGTTTGAAGAGCAGCAAGGATTTCAAGAATAAATAATTAATATTTAAGGAATAAACCTGTCCTGCACCTGAGCCATCTCCGCTCTAGGTGATGACGCTGGCAATGTGGCTTCCCAGGAACAAGAGGCAGCCCTCAGCTGGAGAGAAAGAGTGGAAGGACTGGCCTCGAATTGCCCAGAGACCCTACATGCATTACAGCATTCAGAGGCGAACAAACTCAGAGGCAGCGAGTTAGGGGTGTAGACAATGGATACATCAGGGGATTGTGAGAATGTAAAGCCTCTTTCCTCCAATTGAAATCAGATGAACTTCAAAGTTCTGGAGTTCATCCCAGTTGTGGATGGAGGATATGCAATTAAGATAGAAGGCAGTTACATCCAGGCTAATGATTCCCCTCATGACTCATTGAGAGTTGAGGTAAGAGGAGGTCTTTGGACCAGCTCTCTGGACACTCACCACATGCCAAGAACCATGCTCAGTTCTTTATGTTCATTATCTCTTTTAATTTGTATAATAATCCTCTGTGTAGGTGCTACTATGGCTCTCCTTTTACAGATAAGAAAAATGTGAGATTGTAAAGGTGAAATAACCTGCTCAAGGTCATAGGTGAAAACATTCACCCTCATGTCTAATCCTCCTAGTTTATCCTTCCTTGTACCAGATCATGAAGTCACAACATTGCTGCCAAGGTCAATGGTCTTTAGGGACCAAAGTCTATGGACTTTCCAGAAGACAGAACAGATCCTCTGAGGCTTACTGGGTAAGACTGGGAGGAAACAAAGAAAACCCAGAACAGTCAGTGTGGGCTGAAAGAACAAGCTGGTGAACAGAGCCGAGTCTGCTCTATACTTGTAGAGGGCTTTCCCAAAATGGCCTTTTCCAAAACAAACACAAGCTTGAAGGTTCTCTTCAGACTTAGGTTCTTGGCTTGTGTTGTGGTGAGGAGAGCCCTTAACCTAGAGGAATGGGGACAGCTATGGACCTGACTGGGCTTCCCAAGCCCACCCCCCTTCACTTCTCGGGACATCAGCTGCTTCATTTGCAATACGTGAGTGTTTTCCAAACTTTTTAGACTATGTCCCAGAGTGAGAAAAAATATTTTACATCACAATCTAACACACACACACACACACCCCCTCTGAAACAAGAGTTTCACAAAAGTACACTCAGCCCTACTATGTGTTGCCTTCTGATCATTTTATTTGGAGAAAGACACTCACCTGTTGCTACTCACTATGATGCTTTAACCATGAACGGCCAGCAAACCACGGTTTAACAAACTCTGGATTAGAGGAATAAGCTTCTCTTAAAGGGGAGCTTAGTGATCAAGTCAGTGTTGTTCCTTGGGGAAACTGTGAGCCAGGCAAAGCTTATCTTCGGCACCCCCCTGGCTTTCAGGGACCACCTTCCTGCCTTCCCTCTAGACCCACGTTATTCCTGCAACTCCTACCCTTACCTACCTTCACCTCAGCTGCTTTATACTCAGATGTTAAAAACGATTTCTGGGCAGGTGCTTCTGTTTTCTCTAAGATAGCCCCGTCTCCTTGTAACCATCCTCCCAGTTTGGGCTTATGCTAATGCCATACAGATTACAGTCTTTGAAACGACTCACCTTTGACTTTCAGAGTCAGGTACTTGTAGTCCCAGGCGACCCCGTAGATGATCAGGCAGCGGTACTGGCCTGCGTCCGTCACTTGGACTCGAGGGATGTGGAATAAGGCCTTCCCCAGGGCCAGCTTCTCCTCCAGCAAGCTGGCTCTTTCGCTCTGCAAGGATGTATCGTTTTCCACCTTCTGCAAACTGGCCTTTAAGTATCCAAGTTCCACGTGACCTCCGGTGTCAAAGTAACACTCCAGGGTCACATTGCTGCCATAGTCTACTATGTACAGTTCCTTAGGGACCGTCACTGTGAATAAAGCTGAACAAAAAACAAGACGTTTTCCCATTGTCTGCCTTCACATCTCACTTCTGCACAGAGTAGGGGCCGAGGAGGCCCATCCCACCCCATGTCCCAGGAGACCCCTGTCACGAACTGGGCCATCCTTCAGGCTCCTTTCTCTCCTCTGCCCTGTCCTGTCTGGCCAAGAGTGGAACTCTTGATCCGCTGTTTTGAGGTACTTCTCTCCTCTCAACACGCCCCACTTGTGCAGCTGATTGCTGTCTTATTACCCAGGGCCATTCTCTCCATATGGATCAAATTATACCCTCCCTGCCAAATACGACCTCCTCTCGTGACTGGGAGTAATAATAATTATCATTTGTTGAGTTCTTACTATGTGTTCGTCCTCTGCCAACACACAATCTCATCTAGTTTTCCCAGAAAGCCAGTGAGGTAGAGAGCCATCCTCTTTTTAAAAAATGAAACCAAGGCACAGGAAAGTAGCCAGGATCAGACCCAGGGATTGCTAAGCTCCAAGAGCCCTTAAACACCGAGTCACGCGAGCCCACTGGACAAGCTTCTTCTTTTCTGTCAATAAGGAGAAAGGAAGAATAGAACTAATATTTAGTGTATATATACTATGCACCAGGCACTGTGCTAGGCTCTTTATAACTACATCACTTAATCCTGAAAATACAACCATGAAATATGTATTATTATTTACTGTTTTAACAGTTGAGGAAACTGGCTCAAAGAGGTTCACACCAGGACATACAGTTAGTAAAGTTAAAATTTGGAGCAAGAGTTTGGGGCACCCAGGTGGCTCAGTCATTAAGCATCTGCCTTCAGCTCAGGTCATGATCCCAGGGTCCTGGGATCGAGCCCTGCATCGGGCTCCCTGCTCCGCAGGAAGCCTGCTTCTCCCTCTCCCACTCCCCCTGCTTGTGTTCCCTCTCTCGCTGTGTCTCTCTCTGTCAAATAAATAAATAAAATCTTTTAAAAAAATTCAGAGCCAGTTAGATGTTTGGCTTAAAATTCTAAAGTTTCCACTGCAACAATATTTCCCAAAATATGAGGCACACATGAAGCATGCAAGATAATTTTATTTAGGGTAGAGTTAAGGCCTAAACGGAACTGAATTATTCAGGGAGGAATTTACTTCCTCTTCAATTCTGTTTCAACCCTTCAAGTAACATATAATTTGCAACTAGACTTTCTCACCTCCAACAATGGCTATTTCTCCTTTTAATAAAACAGAAAGCTCCCAGGCAGATACTGTAAATATCTGGGTAGAATTTTATACTACTACTTTCATCACATTTATTTTTTGCTTATGTCCTCTATTCACCAGTAACAATGATACCTGTTTTCCATTTACCACAGGGGTATACCATTTTGCTCAAAGAATAAAAGCTGAGTTGACTTTAAAGAATTCTATAAAAACAATGGCATGAAGAGTGGTAAAGCAAAGTCAAACTAACGAAGGTAGTGTATGCATGAATACACTGTGGGAAACTATACAAGATTATGCCGCCTCCATCATTAATGAAAGGGTATTCATCATATGGAGGTGTGGCAAGACCTTAAAGTAACTTCTGAATCATGACAAAAGATTAGATCAAATTATATTCAGGAGAGCTTGCTTCATTCATTTATTTAATTAGTCAAGACATCCATTCAATAAATACTTGCAGAGGCTTCTAAGCATATGCTATTCAAGGAGTTTTTACCCTTATAAAAAGTGGTACAGTAAGAGCATGGGGTTTAGTGACAGACTGACTGGATCGAGATTATGAGCCCTTTGATCTTGACTGTGTCATTTAGCTCTGTGAGCCTCTGCTTCTTTATCTATAAAGGTGCAAGGGTAATATCTGCCTCAAAGTATTGTGGTGAAAATTAGACAAAATGGCACATGTGAAGTGCCTTATTTTGGCAGGGGATAGGCGGTCAGCAAACATTGGTTCCTTTCTTTCGTACCCTATTATAATTCTTGGGCAAGTGGTAATTTGTATATGAAACACAGGGCCATGATATTTTATAAACCAGAACAGCCCATTCCCTGACCATCCTGGGTAAGAGATTTTTTTTTTAAAGATTTTATTTATTTGAGAGAGAGCGAGCACGCACATCGCGCATGCACAAGGTGGGGAGGGGCAGAGGGAGAAGCAGGCTCGATCCTAAGACCCCAGGGATCATGACCTGAGCCGAAGGCAGGTGCTTCACTGACTGAGCCACCCAGGTGCCCCCTGGGCAATAGATCCTAAAGTATAAATAAATTTTGGGTTTACGTGGCTTAAATGATTCACATGGCAATTCTCTTCTGACCCGAGTTTCTCCTCCTATAATCCTGCAAGACTTTGAAGGCAGTGCCCAGGCTGAATATGTTTCGGTATCTTCCATTCCAGTTAAGGGTTTGGCAAATGGCAGCAAGAGGGAGAAATAAGAAAGGATGAGCCTAACCCTACTCACTTCTGCTTTCCTCTCATCAAACTGCAACTTGCCCACGTTGCACAAACTGGCTGGTGTTCTTCATCATCACACAGCACATTTGATAGTTATGCCCAAACTTGAGATTTATCAAGAACAACTGGGCAAGTTTACGTTTTGCCTGCAACCCCTGTTTTCACCATCACTAGAACATTGATGTGCCTTTCTAAAAGATCTACGGGACAGGAGAGAGTTCACATCTGCCCTGCATGCTTTTGTGCAGGCTGGGGTGGGGGCAGGTCTAGAACATGACTGCTTATCAGTAAAACGCTGCTGATCACACCCGCATTTGCTCGGACAGGTTGAGAAGACTGTGGGATGTCCCATGTGAAAAGAGATTCGTGCTTCCGAATGTCCTGCATGGTTCCATTTCATGAAATCCACTTGTAGTAACTCTCCCTCAGGCTCTCCCTAATAGGACCGTCTTAAGGGTAGATCCCTTTCTGATGGGGATCATCTCCAAATTTTCAGTTATTAAGTCCCCTTTTAACCAAGACAGAGCTACCGGCTACCAAGGCCACTCTGGTCTGAAGAGGAATATTCACTTACTCATTGATCAAATACATAAGTAACTATTTTCTTCCAGGTTCAGGAATTCATTGTTACTCTATTTTTTTTTTTTTTTTATTACACATGATACAGCAGGAAGCAGGGAAGAGAAATGGGATTTGCAAGGAGGTTCAGTTGCTGAGTCTGAGATATAAGTGTCAGAGGACTTTGGGCGTTGCCTCTATTGAATTTATTTAGCAGATTTATTTACCGCACGCAGGCCTTCTTCTCATGAGAGAGAAAACGTCTGTAACTTCCTCTGGAACTCCCCATAGCAGACAGCAGAACTCCCCTGTTTACACTCTGGGCCTTTGACAAAAATCCATTTTCTGCTTGCTTCTTCTCTCCTCTGCTTTGTGCAGAGTGCATGTACAGGGGTTGTAGGCATAAAGTGTGTTCCCTATTTTTCGGCTAATGTTCATAAGAGGAAAGAGCAATTAGCAAACCTGAATCAAATATCTGAGTAGCTCAGAATAACTAGAGGATTAATTGTTATTTGGTGTAATTTTGCCTCAATTAAAGCTTCTAAGACAGGCAAAGCTGTGAGCTTGATTACTCCATAAATTTTCAGGAAATGCACTATACTTTTAAGATCCTAAATTATTCTTACTTACTGTAAATTACGGAGGCAAAAAAAAGACACTTGCAAACAACTGCATGAAGATATTTTTCTCAAGCCTGCATGCACATCAGTGCCTCAACTTTGGCCACCATTGGAATCACTGGGGAGGCCTTTTAAAAAAAATACTAGGCCCCACCTTGGATCCTTTAAATATGAATTCTAATTCATTTGTGAGACCAGCATCAATTTTTTTTTTTTAATTTCCTTGGAAGCTTCTAATGCGCAGAGTATTGAAAACCATTGGTTAGATAAGTAAAACACCTGCTCAGGCAAACATCTTTTATTATCCCGCCTTTATTATCTTTTATTATCAACTATCAGCTTCACCAGGGAGCGAGTGAGAGATTTTTGAATCTCAGGCTCGGTCTCAGACTTAGGGAAGCAGACTCCACATTTTAACAAAGTTGAGGTGGTTCATGTGCACATTACTGTCTGAGAAGAAGACTTATAACATGAGCCTGCACTTGGGCTGTTACTGGGAAGCAGAGTAATCGTCAACATTTATTAAACACAGTGAGCCAGACACTGGGCTAATCTTCACATCATCATCTCATTTGACGTTCCCCAAACTCCACAAGGTAGTAGTTATCATGGTGAAACTTAGGCTTACAGAAGTGATACAACTTGTCCAAGGTCAAAGAGTGGTAGCTCATGGGGTTGGAATTCCAGTTCATATCTCTGTGTCTTGAAAGCCTGTACTAACAACTCTCCAGATAGGATCACATATCCCCTGGCATGTACATATGACATCCACGAAGGAGATAGATACACTTTTCCGCTTTATGCTAAAGAAAATACATTTAGGGGTGTGCATGTGTGTGTGTGTGTGTGTGTGTGTCTGGGTTCTTTATTCTGTTTGAACTCTGTCTGTTTTTATGCCAATACCATGCTGTTTTGATGACTATACCTTTGTAATACAGCTTGAAATCAGGGGTTATTATATTAAGCTCCAACCCAGCACTGAAGTGCTGAAGTCATGAGACAAAGGAGAAAACTGGAAAGTTTCCGCAACTACAGAATTAAGCAGACAAAAACAAAGCAGAGCAGGTTTTCCCATTCATTTGGCCCCCCTGACTAAATTAAAGGGTAACGCGTTTGGCCAGGGCATGAAAAATTCACACATGCAGTTTCTTTAAGCAGATGAAAGCAGCAGGCTTTAGTAATGCTGGAGTCTTTTTGAAAGTTCTTAGGGAAACTGTGTATTTTATTTGCTATCAGGCATCAATAGGAGTCAGCACCTGTCATGTCTCCAGAAATACAAAACAAATCATTTGCATTACCTCCTAAGATAGCTTCCCCTTTAAGCTAATTTCATACTTTTTTTTTTCCATTTGGTAACAGAAGCTGAAGTTTTTTTCAGACTCTGTACTTAATGAACTTGAAAGGTGGGGGCTGCTTTACAGAACCACAGGTTTCAGAAAACTCTAGTTCCTAGTTGAGGATAGAAGCCTGCTCTGGGCACCTGACTCATCTGCTCCTCTCTGTAGGAATACTGCACGGGACATCTCATCTCTTAGAAATCCTTTCCGCAACCTGATTCTTCTGCTTTGTATACCTCAGGGGTCTGAAGAAGTAGTTTTAGAGCGTGAAGATAGGTTAAGGGGAAGTGACCCAAGGTGTGGTCCCCACCCCAGAGTGACCTCAAGCATCACCATGGTCATGTGACCCCCTGATTTTTATCCCTCTCCGGAGGATGAAGAAAGAAGGAAAAAAAGGAAAAAAATCAATAAAACGAATAATAATTGGGGTTACTTTTCCTCCAAGACATGACAAAGTACAGAAGTGAATATTTCCCCTTAAATGTATCTGGGTTACAAGATGTCCTTAGGTTTTGAAATAAAAATATAAGAAAAAAAAAAGAATTACAGAAATCAGAAGAGTGTGCTATGAGGGAAAGCATATACACAAAGGACAGACTGCGGAATGGAGTTCGGAAATAGACCCACACAAATATGGCCAATTGATGTTTGACAAATGTGCAAGGGCAATTCAATGAGGAAAGGACAGTCTTTTCAACAAATGGGGCTGAAGAAACTGGACCTCCAATCACAAAAAAGAAAAAGAATTACCTTCAACCTATACTTTATATCTTCTATGACAATTAACTCAAGATGGATTATAAACCTAAATGTAAAATGTACAACTAGAAAGTATTAAGAAAACCACAGGAGAAAATCTTTGAGAGTTTGGGTTAGGCAGTTCTTAGACATGACGCCGAAAACACAGTCCATGTAAGAAAAAAAAAGATCAACTGGATTTCACCAAATTTAAAATCTTGGCTATGCAAAAGACACTGTTAAAAGAATGAAAAGATGAGCCACAGACCGAGAGAAAATATTTGCTTATCACACATCTGATAAAGGACTTGCATCTGGAATATACAAAGAATTCTAAAAACTTAGTAAGAAAATGAATAAACCAATTAAAAATGGTCAAATAGTTTGAATGCAAACTTCTCCAAAGAAGACATATGGATGTCCAATCGCCATGTGAAAACATGCTTATCATCACTAGATACTAGGAAAATGCAAATTAAGCCACAAATAGATACTTCTACACACCTATTAGAATGACTTTAAAAAACACAACAATGTCAGTGCTGCCAAGAATGTGGAACAATTGGAGTGCTCATACTTTGCTGCTGGGAATGCAAACATAGTCTAGCCACTATGGAAAGGTTTAGTGGTTCCTTATAAAGTTAAATATATACTTACCACATGACCCAGCATCCTACTCCTAGGTATTTACCCAAGTGAAATGAAAACCTATGTTCTCACAAAAATAAATACATAAGCATTTATAGCAACATGATTTGTAATTGCCAGAAACAGGAACAACCCAAAAGTCCCTCAACTGGGGAATGAATAAGCAAAATCCGGTATATACATACAGTGGACTACTACTCAGCAACAGAAAGGAATAAAGGGCTGGTACATGTAACAACATGGATGAATCTCAATTGCATTATGCTAAGTGAAAGAAGCCAGACAAAACACATCTCTAGGTATCTAGTGGATAATCCCATTTATATGATAATCCAGAAAATTTAAAACCATAGGACAGAGAATAGATCATTGGGTACCCAGGTTTAAGAGTTGGGGAGGGCTTTTTGTTTGTTTGCTTGGCAAATGGTGGAATTGTTCTGGATCTTGATTGTGGTGGTGGTTATATGATCACATGTTTGCCAAAAACTCATAGATGTTTCTATTAAAAAGATTGAATGTTACTGTATGTCAATTTGAAAATAAACAAATGTTTAAAAAATGAAATGAAAATGTTTTCTGCCAATTTTCCTTTTGAAACTTTAAGCTGTTTTATAGATAACAGAATAGAGCACCCAGAGACATACAAGTAAGGAAAGAGTTCATGATGAATGGTTTATGTGGGTCATACTCAGTCAGTCTTCATCACAGTCTTTAGGAAACACATTTTTTTTTCAAGCATTAATCCAGCAAGAAACAATTGTTTTTTAAATAACTGTAATTTCTCTCAATAAAGGAATGGTTAAATAAACTACAGCATGTCCAATAAAATATATAGAGCCACTTTAAAATGAGTGATATCTGTATTTGCTGATTCGGAAACTATAAAGAACATATCTTGCTGAGTGCTTACTAAGATTTCTTTTAGTGATATTTAGGAAAATTTTTTAATGGAGAAATGGGTAGATAGTACAGTGTTATGGGGAGGAGGTTATGTAGGACTGGGGCAGGGGAAGGGTTTCGGGGAAGGCTGGTACAGTTCTACTACTTGACAAGGGTGACGGTTACAAGTGTTCCCCTTATGGTAACATGATGCCTTACACTTGTTTTATGTGGTTTTCTGTACCTGTGGTATCTTTTACAACACAAAAGTTTAAATACAGAAAACTTTTAAAGGATATCGAATCAAATAAAATGAACTCCTGTGAATCCATCACCTACCCCAAAAACCAGAACATTACTAAGGACATACATCTACTTCCTCCACCAAAGGTTATCAGCATCCTGAATATTGTCTTTATTAATCTCTGGCTTATTTTTTAGCTCTATCATATAGATATATATTGCTTAGATCATATTATTATGATATGCATATCACATGCATTATATGTATATGTTATACATATATAGGTATATTGCAATATATAAGCAATATATGTAGGTATATATTTATAAAAAGGACACTGTGCTGTATGTTGTCTTCTGTGTTTGATTTTTTTGTGTTTTTTTAATCAATATTATGCTACTAAGACTCTTAAATGTAGTTGCCTATTTTTGTAATTAATTTATTTACACGCTATATATATTTTCCATTCTGCTAATATACCACAATTTATGCATTATCCTGTCGATGGGCATTTGGTTGTTTTGGGGTTATTTTGGAAGGACTAACAATGCTGCTGTAAGCATTCTTTTTAAAATTTAAAAATAGAAATTTACATAGGGTAATAAAGAATTATATTGATTCAATTCATGTTCTCTGTTTTTCCTTCTCAAAGAGAGTGCAAGTTTAGGGGTGAACAAGCACAGTGAGGGGAATGAGGCCATCAGTGTGGCCATCCTGAGAGTCGTGGCTGTTCTTGGGCACCGGATGCTACAGCCTGATGCCTTCAAACGCTTTTTAAAGCATTCTTTTTTAAAGAATTCTTATATTTTAAAATTTATATTTTTATCATACAAGTAAAACTTGTGTATTTCTTTTAATAGACAAGTAAGGGTATAATACTTCTTTCAATATACAAGTAAATGCATACTTCTTGTTAAAAAAAAAAACACCTGGGAAACATAATAGTTAAGATTGTCCTTTTTAATTCTCATCCCAGATTGCTTCCCCTCCCCAGAAGTAAGCATTCTTATCAGTCCTTAGATCCTTTTGTTACTTTTCTCCCCTCAGGTAGCCTCTATGAGAAAACTTTGAAGTTAAAACTCCTTAATTAGGGAGACATGAAAGGATAAGACTTACAAAGAAAAAATACCCCTAAGGAGAAGGCAGTCCAATTTAGGCAGGTAATTAATATTTGTTTGAACTGATACTATCTGCATAATGCATAGTGGGAAGCAGAGAAGAATTCCAAATTTGAGGAGAAAGCAAGATATAACATGTTTATACTTTCCTTTTGGTTAATTCTTAAACATAATTCATCATACATACTTTTTGGTTTTGTGAACGAACATTCAATATATGTCAATAATCAAACTTAATTCCAAAATCCCATTCCAAAGTGGGAAGACTGGGGGCTGTCTGCCCTGCCTGCCTATCATCATCACCATAGCACGGTAAGGGAGAAAGGACATTAGCTGTGTCCTAGCTTGCCTGTGCCGCCTACTGACTGAGTAATCTCGGGTAAATTAAATAACTTTTCTGAATTCCAGTTTCCTCATCTGCCAGATGGTTATTGTTTCTGTAAGACAGGGACATGGGCAAGCACAGGCCACCCTGGGCACCATTCTTTTTACTGTTCATGTAACAGAGTGTAATCCCACTTCCTCTCAAAGAAAGCCTTCAGCCTGAGGACCCCCATTCTCATCATTGGCTTCAGCTAGGGGCAACTGCTTACTCCTCTTTCTCAGACCCCCTCCTTTTGCCCTTTCTTACCTGCTGTCTGATGAAGCTGCATTCCCAGGCTCATGATTAGCAGAAGGAGGAACATGGTCTGTACCCGATCTGAAATAGACAAATGAAAGTCTCAGAGCCTCCTGCAGTTTTGCTGGGTCTCATGATTTGGTGATTTGCTCATTCCTGAACACAGGGAAATGACCCATAAACAAGCCCCTGGAGAGAAGATAAAACTTCTCTTCCAGGAGCTCTGCTGTACCCCAGTCTACTGCCTCCTGGTGGTCTTGAAGGCAGTAGAGTGGGGTACAGCAGAGCTCCTGGAAGAGAAGTTAGAAGTTGATTGCCTGGAGGAGAAGGGAGACAAGATAAGAGGAAGCAAGGTGTTCTTTATCAATCCAAATTAGGGGCTCTTTGTCCTTTTCTGACTATGAACCAGTTCTCATGAATCACCCACACTGGTGATTATCTGAGCCCCTTTGTCTCTTCTACGAAGCTTCCCATAGTTTTTTCAGTAGTGGGTCCTTGAAAATCAAATGATTGTCAAATGGATAATGCACACCAACTTCTTCAGGTGGACTTGGACTCTGGGAGTCAGATACTCAAGCGCTCAGTAGAACAGAGCTAAATTCTCAATAAACACTCGTTATTTGCCTGAGTAGGAAAGTGTCAAGTTCTTTTGAGTGTTGTGATGGAGTTTGCCCATTATTTGAACTACCTGATACTAAGAAGTTTAGACAGAGAGAGCACAGAACTGGCTACACTGAGTGGGTTGCCCAACCTTGGTCCTGCTCCACCTCCTACGCTTCTACCTTTGTTCTCAGACTTTCTTGAACCCAAGGACTTCTCGTGGTTGAGGCAAAAGGGATCTGGATCAGGTGAATGACATGATCTCATTACATTTTCAAAAGAGGACTCAGCTTTGGTGTAGACAATAGACTCTTGGGAAGGACAGTGGGTTGGACAAGATTAGAAGCAGGATGACCAGTGAGGAATGTTTTCACAGAGATGATAGTTTGGATTGAGTGATGGTGCTGGTAGAGGTGAGAAGTGGTGTGAAGGAAGGTATATATTATATACAAATATATATTTGTTCCTTAAATTTATTTTTTCCAGCAGCCTTATTGAAGTATAATTGACATACAATAAAGAATTGTGTGTGTGTGCATGTGTGTATATACATATATACTTAAAAGACAGACAATACAATGGTACAATTCAGTGGTTTTCAGTATATTCACAGAATTGTGAAATCCACACCACTATCTAATTTTGGATCATTTTCATTACCCCAAAAAGGAACCCACTACCCATGGACAGAAACTTCCCAATTCCCCTTCCCTCTTCTTCCAACCTCTGACAACCACCAATATAATTTCTGTCTCTATTGTCTTGCTTATTCTGGATATTTCATAAAAATGGAATCATGCACCATGTGGCCTTTTGAATCTAGCTTCTTTCACTGAGCTTAATATTTTCAAGATTCATTTATGTTGTAGCACATATCAGTACTTCATTCCTTTTCACGATTGAATAATATTTCCTTGTATGAATATACCACATCTTGTTTATCCATTCATCAGGTGATGGACATTTAGGTTGTTTCTACTTGTTGGCTTTTAGAATAATGCTACTATGGACATTCATGTACAAATTTTTGTGTAGACATGTTTTCAATTCTCTTGGATATATAGCAGTGGAATTTCTTGGTTAAATGGTAACTCTATGTTTAACTTCCTGAGAAACTGCCGAAGTGTTTATTAAATATATAATGTGCAAATACTTTCTCTCATTCTGAAAATTGTCTTTTCAGTTTCTTGATAGTGTTCTTAGAAGCACAAATATTTTAATTTAATTTTAAAACAAATTAATTTAATTCTGATGAAGCCAAATTTATTTTCTCTTTTATTGCTTATGCTTTAGGTGTCATATCTAAGAAACCATTGCCAAATCCAAGGTCACAAAGATTTACATCTATGTTTTCTTCTGAGTATTTTATAGCTTTAGTTCTTATATTTAGGTCTCTGATACATTTTGAGGGCTTTTTAAAAAATAATAATTGTTCTTTTATAGCCTAAATCATCATAATTTTGGCCACTGGAAATCCCTTCAAGGTAGCCTCTGTTTCCTTTTCACACAATCCTATTAATCTTGGGAAGTTTGTTTGCTTTCTGTACAAATTGCCTTAAGCCGATTTCATGTCTCTGCTGCCCAAGCATGCAATTAGCCTTTCTCGAAGAAGTCCTTTTTTTCAATTTTTCTAAAACTAGAAATAAAATAAAACCAGTTTACCCATTTCTCCCACCCCCTAAATCTCTACCTCTGGCAACCACCAATCTGTTCCCTGTATCTATGAGCTTGGTTTGTTTGTTTGCTTGTTTGTTTTAGATTCCACATGTAAGTGAAGCCATACAGTATTCATCTTTCTCTGACTTATTTTGCTTAGTATAGTAATGCCCTTGAGGTCCATCCATGTTGTTGCAAATGGCAAAATTTCATTCTTTTTTTGGCTGAGTAATATTCCATTACACACACACACACACACACACACAGGTTGATTCATATCTTGGCTATTGTAAATAATACTGCAACAATACTGCAATGAACCCGGGGTGTATATATCCTTTTGAGTTAGCATTTTCATTTTCTTCAGATAAATACCCAGAAGTGGAATTGCTGGATCATATGGTAGTTTTATTTTTTATTTATCATTTTTTTAGGAACCTCCAAACTGTTTTCCATAGTGGCTATACCAACTTAGAATCCCACCAATGTGCACAGGGGTTTCCTTTTCTCCACATCCTCACCAACACTTGTTATTTCTTGTCTTTTTGATACTAGTCATTCTAACAAGTGTGAGGTGATACCTCATGGTGGTTTTGATTTGCATTTCCCTTATGATTACTGATGTTGAGCATCTTTTCATGTACCTGTTGGTTATTTGTATGTCTTTTTTTGAAAAATATCTATTCAGATCCTCTACCCATTTTTATCTTGACTGTGTGTGTGTGTGTGTGTGTGTTACTCTTGAGTTGTATGAGTTCTTTAGATATTTTGGATATTAACCCTTTATCAGGTATATGATTTGCAAGTATTTTTTCCCATTCAATAGGTTGACTTAATTTTATTGATGATTTCCTTTGCTTGCAGAAGCTTTTCAGTTTGATACAGTCCCAACTTCTAATTTTTGCTTTTGTTGTTTTTGTTTTTGGTGTCAGATTCAAAAATCATCACCAAGTCCAATGTCAAGGAGCTTATCACCTAGGTTTTCTTCTAGGACTTTTTTGGTTTCAGGTCTTATATTCAAGTCTTTAATCCATTTTGAATTAATTTCTGTGCATGGTGTAAGAGAGCAGTCCAGTTTCATTCTTTTGTGTGTGGCTGTCCAATATTTCCAACACTATTTATTGAAGACTTTGGAATATAGTCCGCAGTTTCTTCATTTTGCTTGACTCTGTTTCTACACAATAGATGAAACAACTACTTCTCCCAGTCTTGAAGAATTGGTCTTATATAGGAGATGAAATTTGATGTTCAACCCTGCCTCAGCTCTTGGTTGTCTTGGAAACCTTTGTGCTTATCCAAGCAGCCAGTTCTATTTTTAATAGCTCCCAGTAGTGGACGATGTGCCAAGATCTGTCAGTAGCCCAAAAGGGAGGATCTTAGCACCTAGACTCAAGTTGGTTGAAAGTCAGATCCTTAGGCAGCAGCTTGTGAAAGTATGCAAATAATACAGTCCTGTGGGCTGGAAGTGTAAGTCCTATTGGCCACCAAAGCCAGGCAATTTGGAGGTGTTCTCTGGGTGGCAGTCACAAAAATCTGGGCTCCAGATGACTATATAAGCTTTCCTCTGGATCATACTGGTTAGTGGAAGCAAGGCAGAGGGAGAACACCAAGATGGCGTCCACAGCCTATGTTCCTTGAGAGCAGCTCTGTAGGCCACTAAATGTGTGCAAGACCTTAAGACTGCCCCTCAGGCTGAAGCTCTAGGAGAAGCAAAGAGGCTCCCCTCACAGTGAGACCAGGGTGTGTACATCAGTGTGCTGTCTATTCAGTGCTCTGGGGGCAAGAGCCTGCCAAGAGACATCTCTGATTCAAACAGTTCCCTGGAAAGGGGTAATTCAAGCCCCTGGCCAACAGAGGCAGTTGATGTCGGGCTGGGGAGTCACCTGGGCAGCTGCTGCAAAAGCCAGTACACCAGACACCTCGAAGGCTCCCTGCCAGGAAACGCTGGTGGTCTGGAGTAAGTCAGAGGGTGAGTGTGCAAAGAGCACCACCAGCCTTCCAAGGTCCCTGGAAAGAATTACACCAGCCCCTAGACGTGTGTCCATTAGAAGCCTGTCCCTCAGGCTGCAGCCATGCAGATCAGCTAATAGGCTTTCTTCACAGAAAGACTGAGCTGCAGGGTCTGTGGCTATTCTGGCTCCCTTACATTTCCATATGAATTTTAGGATCAGCTTGTCCATTAACACACAAAAAAAGGCAGCTAGAATCTTGATAGGAGTTGCACTGAATCTGTAGATCCACTGGGGAAATTAGCTGTGATGTTAAGTCTTCCAAATATGAACACAGCTTGTCTTTCCTTTTACTTAGGTTTTCTATCTTTTCTTTTTTTTTTAATTTAATTTTATTATGTTACGTTAGTCACCATACAATACATCATTAGTTTTTGATGTGGTTATCCACGATCCATTGTTTTCATATAACACCCAGTGCTCCATGCAGTACATGCCCTCCTTAATACCCATCACCGGGCTAACCCATCCCCCCCCTCCCCTCTAAAACCCTGTTTGTTTCTCAGAGTCCATAGTCTCTCGTGGTTCATCTCTCCCTCCGATTTCCCCCCCTTCAGTTTTCCCTTCCTTCTCCTAATGTCCTCCATGCTATTCCTTATGTTCCACAAATAAGTGAGACCATATGATAATTGACTTTCTCTGCTTGACTTATTTCACTTAGCATAATCTCCTCCAGTCCCATCCATGTTAATGTAAAAATTGGGTATTCATCCTTTCTGATGGCTGAGTAATATATTCCATTGTATATATGGACCACATCTTTATCCATTCATCTGTTGAAGGGCATCTCGGCTCTTTCCACAGTTTGGCTATTGCGGACATTGCTGCTA